AACTTCCTGTAGTAACCTGCAAGACCCAGAAAACTACGGATCTCAGAAGCATTCTTCAGCGCTTCCCACTGAGATACTGCTTCTACCTTTGTAGGATCCACAACAATTCCATTCTTGGAAATTACATGGCCAAGAAAACTTACTTCACTTAACCAAAATTCACACTTGGACAACTTCGCATAAAGCTTCTTCTCTTTCAACAATTCCAACACAACTCTGAGATGTTCTGCATGCTCTTCATCGCTCTTCGAATAAATTAGAATATCATCAATGAACACCACCATAAACTTATCAAGATACGGATGAAATATCCTATTCATATACTCCATGAAAACACCAGGTGCATTAGTAACTCCAAACGGCATAACAAAATACTCGTAATGTCCATACCTCGTTCTAAATGCAGTTTTCTGAATATCTTCCGACTTCACACGAATCTGATGATATCCAGATCTCGGATCAATCTTACTAAATACACAAGCTCCAACTAGTTGATCCATCAAATCATCGATCCTCGGCAAAGGATACCGATTCTTGATTGTAACTTTATTCAGCTGTCTGTAATCAACACATAATCTCATTGAACCTTCTTTCTTCTTAACCAATAACACCGGAGCACCCCACGGCGAAACACTCGGACGAATAAACTTCTTCTCAAACAAATCCTCAAGTTGACTCTTCAACTTTCTCAATCTAGAAGCAGACCTCTTATAGGCATCCTCGGATTCGAACTAGTTCTAGTAACAAAACCCATTAAGACTTCACCTTGCACTCTCACACCGTTCCACTTACTTCAGCACGGAACACTTCATAAAAAAATTACATCCAATAGGTCACATGCCTTTTTCTTGCTCTCGCCGAGATCTAAATCTCTCGTTACGCAAACCATAACACTTTTCTTCTTGCCGACTCAACTAATTTCACACACTGTAAAGCTGGCACAATAAGTACATCCCATCCAACGCGATCCCGACTACTATCAACAAGAGATTAAGGGTGATCAGTTCCTCAATTTGTCAATAGATAGTCAACAATCATGAGGTGGCATCAACCATCTATACCAAACCACAACAGCATCTTCAATCTTACCCTTCAAGCTACTTAAACATAACCATGCTTGAAGCATCAACTACTCGGCAATACTTACATCTTACAATCGGCGGTATACTGAACCAACCTCTTGCACAAAACTTCAGAGAAGAAACTTCTCCCCCACTTATTTCACACGTACCTCTGCAGACAACGAAAAGGAAACAATCAAGTACCGACAGTGTTTCACACACATGTCGCATACCAAAAGGGAGTAAACACATAAATAACCTGGCCGATAGACCGACCTGCTCTGATACCACTATTGTAACACCCCTTTTAAATAACCCACGAATATATTAATTAAATCAGAGTAACATGGAAAACAGGGATGTCACAATTCAAGATAAATATAAAAACCTCAAATCTACAGTTGTCATGCTTTACTGAAGGAATTATTAAAATAAATATTCAAATCAATATCATGTTCTACACAGCGGAAATGTCTCAAAACCGGAATAACTTCACTTCATAAGTATTCCCAACATCAATTACACAATAGAGTATAAAATAAAACTCATCATTCAAATGTTTCTCCCAGTGTTACAACCTATCAGAGCACGACACTGACACACGGACTTAAAGTAACATAGCTCTAGAGCCATCCTCACCAACTCCTGAGCTGCTAACTTTAATCTGAAATCATTAAAGTAAGGGTGAGATTTCTCATAATTAACATGCATTATAAGTTTCTCAATCAACATTATATCACAAGCATATTATTTCACCCATTTTAGCATAAATTCAGATCCAACACACAGTTCCAATCATACAAGTCATTATGCACAAATCAATAATCAACCAAAGAATTGTAACACTGGAAGACATCCTAACATGTTACAATTCCATGCAAACAAAAATGAAGACACAATGCATGTGGTACCAACACGTGACCAAGTCACCCAACACTGATCCATCATCAACTGGATACAGTAACCATCGATTCGTCCATAAACACCGAACACGAATCCAGCTGATCCATCATCAACCAGATACAGCAATCCATCGATTCGTCCATAAACACCGGACACGAATCCAGCCTAACCACCCATCATCACCCGGGTATCGGTTAACGGAAATACAAGTCAAATTCCACACAATGGGAATTAACTTCACCAAAACAATGCATATGCATGCACATCACCAGCATGCAACATCAAATCAGTCTATGAAATACATCAATTTATCATAACTGAACCAAAACCAAAAGAAACATGATATCATTATTTATCATACACACATCAAACAGCATAAACATGCACTTCATCCACAAGTACCTGATACAATCAATTATCATGGATACACCATTGCATATACACCAAATATGCACATAATAACAAACTGCATAATCGAAAAGTCAACATCAAATCAACGGAATATGATTACAACATAATTCCAAAACCAATATATCACATGATCACATCTCAATCATAATGGATAGTAGGCACAACACATAAGTATCAGTTCTCATTCACCAAATCAGAACAATTTACAAACAATTCTACATCATTCTCAAAATACCAAAGTTTACAAAAATCGGGAATTCGACTCTTTTTAAAATAATTTTCATAAAATAATATTTTTCTTATTTTATAAGATAGAATTTTAAATTTAAGAAATACTTCCGAAAACGGCACTCAAATCGGACTTACGGTTTAAAAGTTATGAATTTTCAAAGTTTAATATTTTTCAAAAAGTTACGTTTCTGGAAAATGTACTGGAACCCGGTTCCTACCTATACAGGAACCGGTTCCTGCGACCAATTTTGCAAGTTTTTGTACATTCACACAGTGGAACCTGGTTCCTCCCCACTGAGAACCGGTTCCCACGACCTGCAGAGTCAAAATCTGCTATTTTGACAGCATTATTCATTCCAATCCCATCCAATTCATACCCACACGAATTATAACATTTGGGACACCAAAATGCAACCAATACACATCAATACAACATCATAAATCATGTTTCCATCATTCCTATTACTATTTCATCACATTAATGGTTCCAATTCCTATACTCTGACACAATTAGGGATAATCCCACAAACCTAGAATTCCAAAATTGAGATTCCTAACATGCTTAATCAATTCTATTGATCTCAAAATCTATAAGGCATATTAAATAATTGAAATCACCCCTTACCTCGCGATGATCCTTCGAATTCACGGCGTTTGGCTTTTTCCTCTCTTCTATTCTCTTCTCCACTTTTACGTACAATGAGTTTTCCAAATAACTTCTTTTTCTTTTCCTTTTTCCTTCTTTTTATATTCCTTTTATTATTTTCCAAATAATAGAAATAAATTAGTTATTATTTAGTAGAGCTTTTTACTTCACACACCTCTAATTCAACTTTACACCCCCCGGTCTTCCTTTTTAATTTCATAATTAATTCATCCATTTAATCCAAAATATTATTAATTAAGCCTTTAATTAATTTAATAATAAATTCCTAATTATTTAACACATGAATTAATTTGGGGTGTCACAGATGTGCATAAGTGCGTTGTTTGTCTGAAATATGTGTATGTGCTATGTTTGTGCATTTCATGTTTTATTCATTCAAATGTCTCATGCATTGATTTAATTGTTACTTCGTCAGAAAATAACATTTACATTCACATTATTCATTCATTCATGCATTTTCTTCTATTTCTAGCATTAAAAAAATTTAAATCGTCATTTAAACTTTTTCGTTTCATTAAAATTCTTTTCTCATGCACTAAAAAATTATTTCAAAATTTTTCTTCATGATTCAAATCTCAATTTATTCTCTTGAAATTTTTAACGCATGATTCGAATCACACTTTTAACATGATTCAAATCAAGAAATCTAAAGTCACCATTTTCTCATTTCCACTCATTGTCAAATTTTCCTGAAGCAAAACCCATTTTAAATTCGAAATTCATCTCATTTCATCATCAATCATTCTCACATTATCATCAATCATTATCGTCATCATTTATCGTTGTCATCATCATCATCATCCTCATAAACCTTTGGCTCCAACCTCTCCATTCACATTAATTGTCGTTTGGTATCATCACTTCCATCAACCATGAAGATCATTCACTACAAGAAAATTAGTGTTTAACGACACAACAATTGCGACAGTTATGTGATAACTGTCGTAATTGACATATAGAGACAGTGTTTACGACAGTTGACACCAACCGTCCCTAATATTTATTTTGCGACGGTATATTTAACCATCATAATATTATTATTACGATGGTAAAACAACCGTCGGCCCCCATTTAACACTTTTAACATTGATTTTTCACCAACAACTAGTCACGACGGTAAAATTAACCGTCCTAAAAGGCATATCACGACGGTAAAGCATCCGTCGCACCCTTAAACCTTTCACGACGGTAAAATTATCCGTCCTAAAATTCATTTCACGACGGTAAAACAGCCGTCGCACCCTTAAACCTTTCATTTGAGTTTGAATATATTGAATTGATGTTAGGTTTTCTAATTTGTTGTTTTAGGATTTTATTTTTTTTAGTGATTTTTTAGGATAATATTTGGTTAGGATAAAATATCTATCGTCCCTTATCCATTCTATGATACTGAATTTTGTCCAAACTCAAGCCATAAATCTTCCAACAACAACCGATAACATCATCATCATCATCAATGACAACCTTTTCAACTGAATTCTTATCACACACTCTCAATTTCAGAAACCACCCAAACCGCACTTCTCGCCGTTCAAATCCCAACACTATCGTCACTTCCTTAACCCCAGGCAACACCAACAACCGAAGAACAAGAATCAGGGTCAATGAAACAAGGCCAAAACTTGATCAAGATTACGATGAAGCTCTCATTAGGTCATTCAAATCAGCTAAGTACAATCGAGCTCTCCGCTTTCTTAAGCGCATGGTTGACAGGGGTTATAAACCTGATGCCATTCTCTGCCATTCTCTTCATCATCTTCCTCTCCATCTTTGATATTTCACTTTGTGGGGATCGAGATAAACCTGCTCTAATAACTTACCCAGATGTGGCTCTCAATTGTATGATTTTGTACTTGTTGCTCATTTTGGTTTGATTTTGATGTGTATGAGGGAATTTCAACACCAGATTGTTAGTTTTAGATGTTTGGTGCTTTGTTTATGTGTTTGGAATCACTATGGATATGGTTTTTGAAATCATGGAGTGTTTTTTTGCAGATGTGTCTTGTTTTCAGGGTCTGTTGTTTTGTCCAGAAGCAGCTTCTTTGATGCTTCGTAACTTCTGTATTTATCACATTGATGCTCCAGGGCATGAGGTTAGTATACGGATTCTTTCTAGTGTTATTGTACATGCTAGCTTCAATTTCATTGAATTCACATCAATTTTTTCTCATTTGTTTAAGAGATATTGCAGTTGGGAGCTGATGTGATTTCTTCGGATGAACCATTGCTTTGTGTGGATGACCTAGCTGATCAGGTTGCAGAAGTGCTTGATTTTTTCGGGTAAGCATAACATTCGCTATTCACTGATTCTATATTGAACTAAGGGAACTGAGTATGTATTCACTAATGAAACTGGCCTTATGATAGACTTATTTGGATTATGATTTTAACTTTCATACGAAACTGTCATGAATCAGGCTAAGAGAGGTTATGTGCATGGGTGTAACAGCTGGTGCTTACATCCTCACACTATTTGCTGTAAGTTAGTAACTCTGAGCTGAGTTATAATTTTATGAGTTTCATGTTCAACAATCTAATATAGTAAACCATCGGGTTAATTTTTTCATCACTTGGCAGATGAAATACAAAGAACGAGTGCTTAGATTGATTCTTGTTTCACCGATTTGTAAAGGACCTTCATGGACTGAATGGATTTACAACAAGGTTTCCTCTCAGTCTCCATGCTTTTTTCATAAGTTATCTTTTGAAATTGAAATTCCAACAACTATATCAAGGAAAGTAGTAATGTGCCAAACTATTTATCGTGTGTGTTTGAAAATCATTGTTTCCACAGTAACATTGTGAGTTGACTTCGAAGTTGCAGCTGTTTAGTTGACCGCACTTTAAAAGCCATCTAACTGTGATTCTAAACGCCTTTAGCATACAACAAAACAATATAAAACTTGTAAAATGATCCCTTGAAATAGAATGTTTACAGGTTTTCTACATATATGTAGGTCTTGATGAACTTATTGTACTTCTATGGTATGTGCGGTTTACTGAAGGAATGCCTCCTGCAACGTTACTTCAGTAAGGTATTCTTCTCATTCTTTATCAGGTACTATGCAGGTAGAATCATTTTTGGAGGTGACATTACTTCTCTACATCTTTTATAGGAGCTTAGATGCAGTATTGAGGGATCAGAATCAGAAGTAATACTAACTTGCCGAAGAGTACGTAAAACTCTATTTTTTCCTCAGAAAATGCCTAATTAACTTGGCAATTAGGATAATTTTGTATGCGTACAATTCTGATTTGAAGATTCTCTTTTCTGTTTTGTATGCGTAAAATTTATAATGCTGGTATGTTTTCTACAACAACATTTGTTGAACACTACAACATTATGGTATAGTTTTTTGACTAAATAATTGTGGTATGCCAGAATATATTTGTTGCAGGAACAGACACAAGCACGTACACACTAGAATGGGCAATGGCAGAGTTAATGCATAATCCAGAAATCATGTCAAAAGTACAAAATGAACTCGAACAAGTTGTTGGCAAAGGTATTCCAGTCGAAGAAACAGACATAGCCAAATTACCATACATGCAAGCAGTTATAAAAGAGACGTTTCGTGTACATCCACCAGTTCCGTTATTACTACCTCGCAAAGCAGAAACAGATGTTGAAATTGGTGACTACATTATTCCAAAAGATGCACAAGTTTTGGTTAATGCTTGGGTTATTGGCAGAGATCCAAGTAAATGGGAGAATCCTAATGCTTTTGTGCCGGAGAGATTTTTCAATAGTGAGATTGATTTTAAAGGACATCATTTTGAGCTTATTCCATTTGGGTCTGGTAGAAGAATTTGTCCTGGTTTGCCTTTGGCTATTAGAATGTTGCCTTTGATGTTGGGATCTTTGGTTAATTGCTTTGATTGGAGACTTGAAGATGGATTGAATGTCGATGATTTGAATAAGGAAGATGAGTATGGGATTACCTTGGAAAAATCTCAACCTGTGAGAATTGTTCCAATCAAATTGACTAAGCAATAATTTAGAATATATGCACGGTTCTTTCATGATGCAGCGGTTTGTAAACTCTTGATGTTGTCTGACCAAACAATACTGTTCTCTGTCAATGGAACTAGGATTTGTGGTCGTGCCAACATTTTACTTACTATAAGAACTAGTTATAAATAATGTGTAATTTGTTTTTGTTTTAATTTGGTGAATGGATATGGTCTTCTTCATAGAGTAAATTTAGGTTCTATTATGTTATTTGAATAAGTCACACTGTTATGGTCCTGGGAGGATCATGGGTTCAGTTTAGGTTATCCTAGTTTATAGGATTTGTTTGTTTCGATTTTCTAGGCACCTTCTATCCGTTTTATTAGGCACTATCTAGTGCATTCAGTTTCTTTTGCAGTTTCCTTTGTAAGGCTATTTATAAGCCATGATTCCTATTAATATATAAGCGAGAGAGAATAATGATTACTTTGGCAGGGTGATGGATAATAATTTAAATAAAAAATATATATAATAGAAAAATAAAAAAAAATCAAGACATAAACAAAAGTTATGGCGACAGTAGCGAACCGTCGTAATTAACAATTAAAAAAATCAACAAAAGTCATGACGGTATCGAACCGTCGCCATAAACAATTTAATCAATTTCAAAAGATATTCACGACAGTATCGAACCGTCGCCATCAATAATTAAAAGAAACTCAAAAGATAGTCACGACGGTATCAACCCGTCGTAAACTTGAACGACAGTTTTTGTAACCGTCGCGAAATAGGTTGGGGACACACACTTCTGCGACGGTAAAGCAACCGTCGTGGAAAGAAAATTGCGACGGTTTTAACCGTCGTAATCTACAAAAATACCTGTCGCAATCTGCCAATTTTCTTGTAGTGATTCCATCCGACAAAGGCAAGAAAATTGCATGTTCTATATCTCCTATCATTCCTTGTCCAAAGAAGCCTCGAACGAAGGTGCAAGCATAAAAAAGGAACTTGTGATGCTCACATTTCTTGCAAGAGGCTAGTTGCTCACAATCAGACCCTTTTAACCATCTACCGTAAGGATAGTCATCTACTACCTAAAGAGAGTCTGAATATACTTGTAGAAAAATTCTTCAACAAGCCGATTGAGTCAAAGTATTTTGTCGACAAGCGTGTTGAATCTGATTTAAAAGTAAAATTTATTCAACCCTTTGCCAATCACAGTTTGTTGAAGTTCATTGTATTGAACAATAAATTCAATCCACATCACGTCAAAACTTTATATTGTAATCTAGAGTTGACTCATATTGGTTTACTAAGTAAATTCAAGGACCGTAATCATCAAAATATGATTAGGTATCCTTTGTAGAATCAATTTCAAAGGATATTGAAGTCGTTTGGTGTGGATGTCTATGTTGCGAAATCATCAAAATATGATTAGATATCCTTTGTAGAATCAATTTCAAGGTTTTTTTTTGGTGATCATCTTGACATGGCTAACTTTCACATAATCCAAGTCAAATTTGAAATGAGAATCCTTCATTAGATCATAGTCAAAGTCTTTTATCAGTAGTCACATGATTGGGCCAGAGCTGACGATTTTGATTTGTATTTAATACTTCCTCTGTCCCATAATGAGTGACTCATTTGAAATAAAACAATGTCCCGAATTGAATGACTCATTTCAATTTTCAATACACTTTTTTCAATTTTACCTTATAATTAATTAAACTTTCATCATTTTCAATACATAAATAGAAGTAATGTAGTAAAAACATTATTCTCTCTTATTTTTTTATACTTTTTAATATGTATGAAATAGTGGACTGAATCACTCATTATAAAAAAGAGAGAATATAAATTAGGATGTTACAAAAGTAGTCTTCTTTCACAATGAAAACCTATCTATTCCAAAACTATGAACATACGCATTATTGTAACATTATTATTTTAGTTTATCCTAGATGGCTTCTCAAAAGGGTAGGATGTTACATCAAGAAAAGTGTATTTCAAAACTTGCTTTTGTTAAGAGATCGTTTTCTATATTTGTCAACTATTAAAGATACAAATCTTGGATTTATATAGCTACTGACATATCTTTTGTTTATTTAATAAATATTTTATATTTAAAAGTTTAATAACAAAAATCATCCATATTCAAAAGTCGAATTCGTCCTTTATGTGTTGAGGTAATAATATTTTGGATCTTTTATTTTTTTCTTTTCAAATTTATTATTTTGGTCGCTAAAAGTTTGTAATGTTGGCTACATAAGAAAAATGTTATCAACTCAAGTGTAAATGAACAGTTTGTAGGTTTAAAACATCACTTTAATATTAAAAAAAGTATTATTAAGACAAAATATAAAGAACGGTTGGATATATTTTTTATATAAAGAAGTGATAATAATTATTAAAATTCCCACAATTATGAAAGATAGAATTCAAATTTTGATATTAACGTTCGAGCTAAAATATCCATTTTTAATAGTAAAAGATAAAATATAAACTTTAATATTAATATTCAACTTAATGATATCATCTTTTATAACTTCTTATTTGCAACATTTTTTGGACTATTTTACAACATCTTATTTGCACAAATAATTATTAGAAAAAAAAAACTCCTTTATAACAATAAAAAACTCTCTATTATTGAAAACATCAATCAAATATAATCTTAAAAGACATTTACAAAACAAGTTTGCATGATCATGGCTTAAAATTACAAAGCCAGATTACATATAAAATTGAAAAAAATATATAAAAAAACAATTTAACTTCTCAATTATTTTTCAACTGAAGTCTTCTTTCTTCCGCAGATCTCACCCCTTCCATCTTCAACATATCCAACAAAAAATCACTCCAAGTATCAATCGGACCCGGCAAACACCAATGAACACAATCATTATACAATGTAACATTATCATTAGGCCAATGACCGAATCTACTAGGATGACCATCTGGTCTCAACAATGTAGCTTGTGTCACATCATACAACCTAAATTTCTTCCCATTCCTTCTCCCCTCCTTTTCCGCAAGCTTAAACTCCTCTAATTGAATCATATAAAACTCCAAACTAACACCTTCCAATTCTGTCTCATTGCTCCTAAATGGTTTTCTCCTAACACAATTCCCACCTTGGTTCCATATCCCATTCTCAAAATGTGAGGGAGAGAATGTTCTAAGAAATGTTATGCCTTTGAAGTTTTTAAGATTGTTTATAGCTTTAAAAGCGGTTCTAAACGCTCGTCTATAACCATGATACATTGTTAAATCGGGGACATTTTCTAAGAGACAATAATGACATCCAACGATTTTTTGATTTTCGTGATAAACCATTGATCTTGTGAACCAATGTCCTCCGTTGAGGATGACATAGTCAAAATCTTCTATTTCAGTTATCCAACTTTCATCTGGCTCGTCAATGTAGAGATTGAAGAGACCAGTTGAAGTTGGACCCTTTTGATCTGATTCTTTAGATTTTACTAAATGGGGTGTCCAAAATGAGGATAGTGTGAAATTGTAGGTTGGATATTTCCATACCATGAAATAATCGTTTTGTCTATGTGATACAACTATGGGCCATTCCACCTGAAAAATAAAGAGTAAAAATGTTAACAACAACTATTTTATGTTAATAATAACTATCTGTCTAATATGTATATGTGTTAATGTTAGATATTGATACGAATCGAAACATACAATACATTTTATGACACCAAAACATAGTATTACATTTTATTTTATTTAATTATTAACGTTGATGTTTTAGGTGTGTCTATATTGATATGAATGTTTCATAAAGCATAGTTCAATAAACAATATCAATAATATTAGATTGAGTATTTTTATGGTGTTTCGACTTGTAATTCGAAATTTTCATTTTGTGTGAATAAAGCTTTAATTGTTTTAAAAGCTAATATTGTAATTTTAAAAAATGAGATAATATAAAATCTTCAAGCATGTTATTACATAATGCAAATAATTCTGTTTAGTTTGTTACTTAACAGTTAGTTTAGTTTGTTACTTAACAGTTTAGTTTGTTACTTAATAGTATATATAGTACTGTCTTGTACATTCCAAAAGTAGAATAATACAATGAGTTTATTCCATTTTATTTTTTCTCTCTTGGCATTCCAAAGTTAACATGGTATCAGTTTGAAATTTCACTTCCGCGCCTTTCCTTTTCCTTTCATCTTCTTCGCGCCTTCGCGCCTTCTTCCTCCTTTGCTGCATCAGCTTGATTATGGCGCTCCCTTACTCTGATTTTGCTACCAATCCTTCCAATCCTTACTACATGCATCCTAATGAGAATCCCTCTCTTGTTCTTGTTCAACCTGTTCTTGATACCAAGAACTACCAGATCTGGTCTAGATCGATGAAAATGGCTCTTATCTCCAAGAACAAGATCAAGTTCGTTGATGGCACTCTTTCTCCTCCGCCTATCTCCGACTCTCTATACGAACCTTGGCTGCGATGCAATAATCTCGTCCTCTCATGGCTTCAACGCTCGATTTCTGAGGAAATTGCAAAATCTCTTCTCTGGTATGATCGTGCTTCTCTTGTATGGAAAAGTTTGGAAAATCGTTTTTCTCAGGGAGATATTTTTCGCATTGTTGACATTCGAGAAACTGTTGCTCGTCTTCAACAAGGAACTCTCGATATCTCTTCGTTCTTCATGAAATTGATGACGCTTTGGGAAGAAATCGAGAACTTCCGGCCAATTCGTGATTGTACTTGCGCTATACCGTGCTCCTGTGGTGCTGCTTCAGACTTACGCAAATTCAAAGAACAAGATAAAGTTATCAAGTTCTTGAAGGGCCTTGGTGACCAATACGCTCATGTTCGCTCGCAGATTATGTTGATGACCCCACTACCAACTCTTGATAATGTGTTTAATCTGGTTCTTCAACAAGAACGTCAATTCAACCTTCTTTCACCTTCTGCTTCTTCAATTGAGTTTCAATCGTCTGTGAATCACCTTTCTCAAGCACCTTCTCGTTCTTCTCACAACCCTGGTCGTGGTCGTGGCCGTGGTGGCCGTGGAA